TGAAGACTAGTGTAGCTCTGTTGGTAGAGTGCTTGCCTAGCATACACAAAGCTTTGGTTTGATTGCCAGTACCAACTTGGCCATTCATGCCTGGAATTCCAGCATGTGGAAAGTGGAGGAAAGAAGATCAGGGGTTCAGGATCACCCTGGCTACATGGGGCGTTTGAGGCCAGCCTGGGCTACATAGAACACCTTGTCTCAAAAGTAAAGACAATGAAAACATAGTCAGTCAGTCAGTCAGTTTCAAGGTAGACTAAGTTCTTTGTGGAAGGGTTTCTTGTTTTTTTTTTGTTTTTTTTTTTTTGCAGGAATTTAGGGATAGCCACCCTTGCTACAGAGCGTTGGAGGTGGTGTATCAGGCATATTGTTGGTGGGACAGTGGAATCCAAGTGCATGAGCCTTCGAGGAGTTTAGAGGTGATGGCTCTGTAGAAAGAACTCAGGGGGAGGCTGGAACCTTGGACTTCACATTTCCTACTACTGAGCTATAGTCCCAGCTCTAGGCATGTGTCAATATCAATAGATAGATAGGTAATTGATAGAATGATTGATAGAGACATAAAGATAGAAAGAGATGTAAAGATAGGTGATAGATATAATATATTGGAGGTGTGTGTGTGTGTGCACGTGCGAGTGCTTGAGGAGGCCAGAGGTCAACCTCCTATGTCATCTTCAGAAACACTGTCTACCCACCCAGCACAGGGCACTTTGACATGGGTGTTGTGGATCAGATTCAGGTATTCTTGCTGTCAAGGCAAACATGTTATTACCCACAGAGCAATCACCCCAGCTTTAATTTAATTTTATTTATTTATTTATTGGTTTTTTGAGATCGGGTTTTTCTGTTGCTTTGGAGCCTGTCCTGGAACTCATTATGTAGACCAGGCTGGCCTTGAACTCACAGAAATTCGCCTACCTCTGCCTTCTGAGTACTGGGACTAAAGGCATGTGCCACCAAGACATGGCTCCCAGCTTTTATTTTTAAGTAAATCTAATTGATATGAAACTAGATCAAGAACAGGTCACTGACCAGCATAGCACTTTGGAGAAGTTCTGAGTGCTAGGACCTCTTCATTCATAACCATCACTCGAGTTCTTTGTGTATTTGCCTTCTCCAGTTGTTTACAGAGACCTGCTGTCCTGTTTACCCTACTCATTTGCTCAACAACCATCCTCTGTAGGGATAACATAAATAAATAATGTTCTCAGCAACATTTCTTAACCTGGAATCTGGGAGGGGTGTGGGATAGATAAGATAGAGGACTGAAAAGTGATAAAATTTTAAGTCTTTGTGCCCCCCCCCTTTATTTTAAATAACATTTTAAAGGGTTATTTTTCCTCGAGAGTCATTTTAGTGGCAGAAGACTCCAGTGTCTTTTGTTCTGTGCACCTGGCTGGGAGCAAAGACTAAAGCAGTTAAGCTAGATCTGTGATTGTGAGGCAGTAATCACAGCATTTACTGTTAACTTGACACCTGGGAAAGAAGCCTCAGTTGAGGGGAATGTCCACACCAGATTGGTGCTTGTCTTGATTGTTAATTGATTTAGGAGGGCCCAGCCCACTGTGGGTAACACTATCCCCTAGGCCAGAGGTCCTGGGGCCATGTAGGAAAGCTTGGTAAGCAAGAGTCTGTCAGAAAGCTAGCAAGAATGCTCCTCCATGGTTTCCGCTTCAAATCCATGCTTGAGTTCCTGCCTTGACTTCCCTCAATGACAGATTGCGACCTGGTGTAAGTGGAATCCTATATACACTTTCTCCTCTCCATTGCCTCTAGTCTGGATGCCTTATTACAGCAACAGGAAGGAAACTAGGACACATGATTAGTTGACTCAAGGTTAATGCAAAAATGAACTGAAAGCACAGACCTGTACTCGACGATACAAGGGATCAAAAGACAAGAGGAAGCTTTTAGAAGGACGGATATGTATTTGTGGGGTAGATTGTGGTCAGTTTCTAGGGTATATACTCACTGTAGATGCTTCAGGTTATATATGTCAAGTGTGTATAGCTTTTGTTGTTGCTCACAGAGTTTCACTATGTTGCTTAGGCTGGCCTTGAACTTCTGGGCTCATGTATTCCTCCCATATCAGCTTCCTGAGGGGTGAGATTATGAATGTATATATCACTGTGCCTGACTAAAGATGTGTAGCCTCTTTAAAAAGATTTATGGACTCTTTAAAAAGATTAAGAACATGGCCTGCAGAATCACTTGACTGGGACCTAAAGAGATCGGGGAGCCTGTAGGAGTCTAATCTAATAATCTAGGTCCTGTGCATATATGTTATGGTCAAGTAGCTTGGTGTTCTTGTGGGGTTCCTAATAGTGGGAGCAGGTCTGTCTCTGTCTCTTTTGTATGTTCCTGGGACCCCTTTCCTCCTGCTGGGTTGCCTCATTCAGCCTTGATGTGAGGGGGATGTGCCTAGTCTTATTGCAACTTGACATGCTGTGTTTGGTTGATATTCCTGGGAGACTTGCCCTTTTCTGAAGAGAAAGGGAGGAGGGGAGCTAAGAGAGAGGGAAGGTGGGAGGAGAGGCTGGAGAAGGGGTGGAGGGGAAGCAGCAGTCAAGATGTAATATATGAGAGATTTTTTTTTAAAAAAAAGAATTTTTGTTTTGTTTTGTGAGACAGTTTCTCTGTGTAACAGCTCTGGCTGTCCTGGAACTTGCTTTGTAAACCAGGCTGGCCTTGAACTCACAGAGACCTGCCTGCCTTTGCCACCGGGCCAAGATTTTGTTTTTTTATTAGTATTTGAATGTGTGTGTTCATGAGTGTAGGTGTGGGCACATAAGCACAGTGCCGGAGTCGTCAGAAAAAGCCTGAGATTCCCTGAAGTTACACAGAGCAAAGTGATGCTCAGACTAGAACTCGTGTCCTCTGCAAGAGCTGTAGGTGATCTCAACCCCTGGGCCATCTCCAGCTCACCCGCCCCTTTTTTGAGATGGGGTCTTATGTAGCCCAGGCTGTTTTTAAATTTGCTATTTAGCTGAGTATGACCTTCAGCTTCTGATCCTCTATCTCCTGAGTGCCGAGATTGCAGGTGTGTGCCATCACACCCGGTCCATGAGGATCCCGGGGCTTCTTCATGTGCTTTAGGCAAGCACTCCACCAATTGAGCTACAGCCCCAGCACTGTGCCAGTGTCAACCATATCTCAGGGAAAGGGCTGGGAAGAACAGCTAGTGTGGCATTTATATATTGACTTGACCCTCCCCACTTCGCATGTCTTGGTGAAACGAGGCAGGGATTCTGGGCACACTAGGGGCTCACAGCAGAGCCACTGAGACAGTTGGTGGCCAGTGTCAGTGAAACCCTGTGGCTGGCCAGAGCCTCGTCCTCTCTGAGGTCCCCTCTGAGGCAGCAGCATGCTTCCCATCTGACCTGGCTCGAGACTTGTCCTGGGTTGACTAATGCATTCTCTGGCTCTGTTCCACTGTTTTCCAGCTCCATTTCCTGGGCCAGTCCTCCTTACTGCTCTTGTGTAATGCTGCCCACCCTCTGGCACTCCGATCTGTGGCTGCGCTTTCAGACCTGTCCACTCCCGGGCATCCTTCTGTGAGCTCAGGCCATCTGTGCTTCCAGGCTCTGTTGTGCATACCAAACCCTCGATTCGCATGGCCAAACTGCATAGAGTCTTCCTCCCTGTCTGAACTATTTATTTGCACTCAGGAAGCTGAACCCAAGTCACCCTGCAGCCCTTCCCCCTTGCTTAGACTCTGCAGCCAACATGTCGCTCACAGTAGCCATTTGCCAAGAGACTCCAAAATGGCTCCCTCCTGCTCTCATTTTCAGACCATTAGGACAGTCTCATGGCCTCTGCCACACATGATTTCACACAGAGCTGTGGTCACACTCTTACAAGAGCAGTTTGTGCCTTCTAGAGAGTCTGAGCTCTGTCACTGTGCACTGCAGGCCTGGGATAACCTGACCCTACACTCACTGTGTCCAAATGTTGTCACCCCTGCCCATTCCCTCCTGCCCTCCTACCTTCCCCTGCACTCAAGAGGAACAAATCCATGAGAGTCCCAACTATCTCTACAGCTATGTGTCACCAGGCTGGCATACCTGCCTGTCTTGCAAGAAACACTACAGGGTGTGGCTTACCCCTGCTCAGTTTTGGTTCACTGGATCCAACCACTGTTTGTGGCACACAGTGTAGCAAAGTCTACATTGAGCTATCTTACTCATTTGAAAAATGCCAAATTTCATAACTCTTCCCCTACCACCTCCTCTCTCCAAATTAAAGCAGCTGCTGGGTGTGATGTGCACAATTTTAGTTCCAGTACTCCTGAGACAGAGGCAGGTGGACCTCTGTGAACTCCAGGCCAGCAAGGGTTATATAGTGAGACACTGTCTCAACAAAAAGGAGCAGGAAGGGCTGGAGAGATGGTTCAGCAGTTAAGAGCACTTGCTGCTTTTCCAGAGGACCAGGGTTTGATTCCCAGCACCCACATGGTGGTTCCTAACTGTCTGTAACTCCAGACCCAAGGATCTGAGACCTCCCGGTTTGCATGGGCACCAGGCACACATGGTGGACTTACATATTCACAGGCAAAGCACCCATATACATAAAACATATATAAAACAGTATTTCTTATCTATTATGTATGTATATGAATACATATATGAAGGTGTTTCAGGAGTCTAGAAAGGGTCTCTGATCCCCAGGAGCTATGTCTGTGTCTGTGTGTGCCCTGTCAGCTTTTTTCATTTGAGATATTTTCCTTTGTAATGGAACATTAATTATATATAGAAGTCATGTGTCTAAAAGGAAGAGAGAACAAGGATGAATGGATCACAGATCCTGATTCCAGACCTTGCTCAACCCAAATTTGGTGATGTTGATGTAAAGCTCTCAACAGAAAAGCCCCCGAGTGCCATCATGGAAAATGTTAGAGCCGGTTTCCTGCATCGGTGAATGATGGAGAGGTCTGCTCCCAGGAACGGAGCTATGGACAGAAAGAGACAATAAACTCCCCCATCTCTCTCTCTCTTTTCAAACAGGATCAGTTTGACAACTTAGAAAAACATACACAGTGGGGCATCGATATTCTTGAAAAGTACATCAAGTTTGTCAAGGAGAGGGCTGAGATTGAGCTCAGCTATGCCAAGCAGCTCAGGTAAGAAGGCCGGGAAAGGGAGGCTCGTTCTCTTTTTTATTAAAATGCTTTATTACATTTATTTATTTGTAGTACTGGGAAGTGTATGTGCTGGGTGTGCTTGTGGGGGTCAGAGCACAAACCCAAGAAATTGGTTTCCTCTCCTTCCATGGTGTGAGTTCTGGGAACTGAACTCAAATCCCTTTTACCACCTCACCTCCCCATGCCATCTTGCTAGCTAGATGCAAGCATGATTTTTATTCTCATTTCACAGTGTGTGTGTGCATATATGCATGTGTGTATATGTGAATGTGTATGTCTATGTGCATGTGTGTGAGTGTGTGCGCACCTATGTGTGTGTGTGTGTGTGTGTGTGTGTGTGTGTGTATGTGTGTGAGAGAGACAGAGAGATATTTTCTCACAAAGTAATATGTCACTGGAAATAGCTGGTTTTTTAGTATAGAAAATTAATTTTTTATAGGACAGTAAAAATAAAAAATAAAGCTATTACTTTAGTTTGTTCAATTTTTCTGTTTGAGACAAAGCCTCATGTAACCTAGGCTAGCTTTGAATTCACTATATAGTGGAGGCTGTCTTTGAACTCCTGATCCTCCTATCTCGCAACTCCTGAGAGCTGGGATTGCAGGTGTGTGCTGTCACTCTGGACTCAAGTCCTTGCTGTTAGACACTACTTTGTTTTGCTGTGCTTCCTGTTGAAGTCAGGGTCTTGTGCCTCTAGGTAAATCCCCACTTTCACCCCATCCCCCCCCCCCCCCCAGTCATCCTGACCTCTACACCCAGCCTCCAGGCTTGGATCTTTGCTTTCTTTTAATGGTTTTTGTTGAATTTTGGAGAAGTTTGGCTGTCAGTAAACTTCTTGTTGACATATACACATGTACAGACAAGCACAGGAATCCCATGTGTAAGGCTCTCGACCAGTCCTCCCTCCCCAGGAGTGACACGGATCAGCAGAGCCTGCTGTGAGTCCTGTGAATGTGAGCATTGGCTCTGGCCCTTTAAAAATAAGACTTCGAAGCTGGGCAGTGGTGGCACACACCCTTTATCCCAGCACTCAGGAGACAGAGGCAGGTGGATCTCTGAGTTTGAGGTCAGCCTGGTCTTCAGAGAGAGTTCTAGGACAGCAAGGGCTACACAGAGGAAACCCTGTCATGAAAAAAAAAAAAAAAAAATCTGACTTCCTTTGTTGTGCGCTGGTTGTGAGGTTTGTCAGTGCCGTGGTCATTTCTTATATTTCCATTGCTCTTTATTATTTTTCTGTGTGGGTTTCCACTGCGTCTCTGTTGTCACTCAGCAGCTGGTTGTTCTCACTGACCCCCTTTTGCCTTTAAATTGTAATTACATTGTTTATTTGCTGTGTGTGTGTGGAGGAGTTGGACATGCCACCGCTAGCATCCAGTGAGGTTGGAGTTGGTTCTCTCCACCCTGTGGGCTTCCAGGATTGAACTTGGCACCAAGTGCCTTTACCTTCTGAGCCTTCTCCTCAGCCCCGCACAGGCCGCTGGTGCATATCTGAACCGTTTTCTTCCTTTACTGGAGATTGGAACTGTGATCGAAGAGTGTACCTCTCCCTGACTTTAGTAGTACTTGGAATAGTTTGTGTTTGGCCTGTTTCACTCTCCAGCAATGTGTGAGGGGTCCCAGGAAGCAGAATTTGAAAAGAACTGTTATAGGAGATTTTAGGCTTGAAACCTGAGCCCTGGCTGCTCCCACAAGCTAGTCCTAGTCACTTGTCCCCAACACACCTATTAAAGAGGCAAGTTGGAGTGGTATGCAGAGAAAGGGTATTTACTTTCTATGGCCACATTTGAAGAAGACCAAAGAGGTCCAGTGATCTCCAAGTCGGTCTGTGGGTGTTTGTGTGTTTGTGTGTGTGTGTCTGCATGTTCCAGGGTTCAAACTCAGGTTACCAGGCTTTTGCAGCAAGCTCTTTACCCACTGAACCATCTTGCTGGCCCAGACCAACCCAGCTTGAGCTTTTGTCTTGCTCTAGCATGAAATTCCTTGGGAAATTTTAGTTCCTTGGAGGCCACTGTTAGAAAAGAATAGCACAAACATTGACTACCCTGCTCCTGCCAGAGAGCTTGTGTGCTTTCCTAAACTTTTAAAATTACCTGGGACATTTGTTTGGGATATGAAATATTTTTAAATTGTTGCTAAAGGGCTGGGAACATGGCTTAGTTGGTAGAGGGTCTGCCTAGCACACGTGGAGCTCTGGGTTCCATCCCCAGCATTATGTAAACTAGGTATGGTGGTGTATCCCAGCACCTGGTGCTGGGGGCAGGAGGATCAGGAGTTCAAGGTCATCCTCAGCTGTTACATTGTAGGATGCCACAGGGTTATCATTTTTGCCTAAGTAAGCATCTCAGTTCTGGCTGTGGAAAGTTCTTAGCCTGACACATTTTGTTTACATTCATTAGCTGGAATGCAGAAACCAAGGAAGTATGTTTCCTACTGGCTGAATCCAGGTCAGTTTCCAGAACTCTGCAAGAGTCTGGACCTCACTAGCAAATGGCTACTTCACATCAGTTAGTCCAGATATGTTGTTATCCGTGTGAAAATGGGTTATACTGCCTGGCTGAGTACTTGAGAGACAGAGGAAGGTGGATCCCTTGAGTTTGAGTCCAGTGGGAGGAAAGAACTGACTCCATGTTTCAAGGAAGGAAAGAAGGAAGGGATGGAGAGAGGAAGGGAGGGAGGGAGAGAGAATAAATGTGTTATACCACAGCCTAGTCATGGGTCTTCCCTCAGGGACTGAGTTAGTTTTGTGTCTTCATTTCTCTTTGATTTCTTCCTGGTGCCTCCATCCCCTGTCACCTTGTGCTGTGGAGGTCTGTGTGCAACTTTGGCAGGCATGGCAGTGAGTGGTCCTTTGTCTTTCTTGGAAGCATCTTTCTCCCCTGGGCCTCTCCTACATCACTAATTTTTATCCTTGCTCTTAATTCTGCTGTGTGCAGCATCCAGTTGCTGTTTCTTTCCCCTTAGTCTGTGCTCTTTGCTTGACCCCAGCTGTATCTGGCGCTAGCACCTATGGGTGTAGCAATCACTCCCCCCCCCCCCAGACTGCAGAAGAGCTCACGGAAACTCACTGGGCTTTTTAACCAGTGCCTGCGTCCACACAAGTCTGAAACCATCCATTCAGCTTCCACTTTTCTACCTGTCCTGTGAGTGCATGGCTCTCCCTGGCTTATGGACGAAGCCCCAGGGTTTTTTTGTGCTTTCTCTCTCCCCCTCCCCACCAAGCCATCAGGACACACCATTCACTTTACTCCCCACTCTGACCCAGGATCCAGCCCCCGCTCCTTGACTCTGTGCTACCTCTGGGTTACTATTGTCTCTTGCCTGGATCATTACCAGTTGAGTTGGCTTGCTGTCCTACTGTCTGTTGGCTTTCTGCAGAGCACACACTAGTTCCTCAGTAATTCCCTATTTGCTTCTGATAAAAATCTCCAAAGTTCTTCTATCAAATGCCTAAAAGCCTTTCGTGCCTGGTCTCTCCTATGGCCATTGCTTTTTCCTTTAAACATGGCCAATGCCTGAATGGCCTTGGTGGGAAAGTCTGGGGCAGTCAGAACATGTTCCTTGTGGAAACTTGCCTTTTTCTGAGTCGATCCGTGCAATGTGAGCATGCGTGCAAGCTCTCTCTGCCTGGACGCTCGGTGTGCTCCCCAGCTGTGCTCCTGTTTTGGCACTGTGGTTATCTTGCTCCTTTCTTGTTGAATTAGATAAACCCTGGCGTGTTTGTTTATTCATTTGCCACTGATGTGTTTTAGCCCAAAGTTCATTTCCTGGGTCCTCTTGTTCAGCACAGCTCTATTGCTATGCACTTTTGTGTTTTAAGTGTGTCACTGGTGTGAAATACTCGGGCATTTGAGTTGCTTGTTTTTCTGGTGTGTTTTTCATTTTCCTCCAGGCTGGGTTTTCCTCTTTCTCTTCTCTGACAGTGCCTGACGAATCTTTTCACACTGGGCCTGCTTGACTTGGACAGTTTGATGAAGCTGCTGAGCTCATCTTCTAGGTCCCCAGTTCGAAAGGTAGTCCTGTGTTTGCATCACAGCGGTTTGAATGGGGGAACATCGTTCTCTGGGATTCGTCCTTTTCAACTTTAAAATGTGAATAGTGAGACGTTCTGCCTTCTGAAGTTGTTGAGTGACTTTTCTCATCACTGTGACCAATAGGAAGGAAGGGTTTGTGTTCACAGTTTAGGGGGACACAGTCTGTCACAGTGTGACCCCAGTCAGGAAGCAAAGACGTGAAAGCGAAAGCGGTCACTCGTGCTGCCTTTCATTCAGCTCCAGACCCCAGCCCACAGGCTGGTGCTGCCAACATGCAGGGTGCATCTTCCGACATTAAACCGCTCTGGAAATGCCCTCCCGACACACCCAGAGGTGTGCTTCCATGAAGACTCTACATCTAGTCATGTTGACCGTGAAGATCACCAGGACAAGGATGGAAGGAGATGAGGTTGAAAGTCTTCTGGCTGACCTCCTTGCACACTCATCACAGGCCAATGGCCCAGGAAATAACTGTCCTTTGGGATATAGTTAATTCAGATTCTGATACTAAAAGGCTTTCTGTATGCTCTACCTAGAGGCTGGAGGCTGGGTACAGCTACCTCCAAGAGTCAGCTGGGGAAGGAAGGGGGTCTGACTTAGGGATTCTGAGCTATTGTGTGTCCTGAAACTCCTTGGCATTTGGGCTCTGGGCTGAGTCATTCAGGACAATCGGCCATGCTCCTGTGGAATCTCTAGGTTTATGAGGACTTCCCCATGCCTGCAGCTTGAGACCTGAGGAGTGGAGACCACAGGCTAGCCCACACTTTATCCATGTCCTAAGAGTCCACAGGTAGGAAAGGACAACATGGACATTGTCAGGGCCTTCCCTTTTCAGTTTGCTTCTGTCTGAACTGACTCAGGACTGTTCCCCTTACTTCCCTTCGTGTGACTAGGTGGGTGGAATCAGCATCCATTCTAAATTGCCTCCAAATCACCCATCTCTGTTCTCAGGTACCTCTTTCCAAAGTGTATGGACTAAGGGCAAGCATCATTTGTTTATTGTCTAATAATGCAATCTCTGTCTCTCTCTCTCTAATCTCTGTCCTGTTCATTTTGTATATTTTATTTGAGATATAAAAGCCCTGGCTCACTTTGAACTGACTTCATTGTCCAGATAGGCATTGAACTTAGGATCCTCCTGCCTAGGGTTCCTAAGTAGCTGGGACTCAGGCCCATGTGTCTGGCCAGGCTCTTGGTCACCTTCTGTGTGGTGCCATTACTTTGTTGGGAAAGCACCCTTCTCCTGACTCCATGATCCAGAGATATCTTGTGGTTTAGAAAAATAAAAGGAAGAACAGCCCCAAACATTTCTTGGCTGCACCCTGGGTACCCTGGCTCAGAGCACCTGGAAAGGACCCAAAGGTCTGCTTTAAAAGTCGTCCCCCCCTCCCCCTCCCCCCCCACGGTTCGTAGGGTTGGCCAGGTCTTAGCCAGAAGCCTCATAAACTCCTGTTTTCCTCTTTCCTTCCCGTTAATCTACCAGAAGAGCTGGTTTCGTGGAGGATGCCTACTGTGAGGGCAATATTTCATGAACTTCCTTGCATGCTTATTTTTGTTTTTGTTTTTAAACAGTTTTTTTTTTTTTTTTTTTTTTTTTTTTTTTAACAGTTTAATCCAGGAAGCCTGTTCCCAGGGCAAGGGGATGGGAAAGGTTTATAGAGAAAAGAACCTTGGACTGGGGCTTTGGAGGTGCCTCAGTGAGTAAGAATGCCTGTTGGTTAAGCCTGAGGATGTGAGTTCAAATCCTAGCACCCACAGAAATAGCTGGGCATGGCCATTTATGCCTGTAGTTCCAGGGCTACAAGGAGTGGAGACTAGATGGTCACTGGAGCTTACTTGCTGCCAGCCTGGCTCCAGTTCTTGTCTCAAGGAAACCAGGCAGAGAGAGGAAGAACAGGACCCATACTGGCTGCTGGCCAGTGTGTGTGTATGGGTGCTTGGATGCAAATATACCACACATCACACACATTTTCACTCAGGCTTTTGCAAAAAAGTTGGGGGCAGGCATGCTAGTGCATGCTTTTAATCCCAGCACTTGGGAGGCAAAGGCAGGTGGAGCTCTGTGAGTTCCAGGCCAATGTGGTCTATATAAAGTGTTGCAGCCCAGCCAGGGCTACATAGGATCTTAATAGAAAATCATGCATGACAGTCTTTGCTCTTGTTTAGGAATTGATGATAGGTAGAAGGTGATGTTCATGCCTGTGGTTGTACATGGTGACACACATCTTTAGTTCTAGCAATCACGGCAGAAGCAGGCAGATCTCTGTGAGTTTGAGGTCAGGCTGGCTATATATTAAATCCCAGGAAAAATAGTACCTTTTTTAGCAGGGCATGATGGCCCAGGCCTATAATGCGAGCACTCAGGAGGCTGAGGCAGGAGGATCACCACACATTCAAAGCCAACCTGGACTACAGAATAAGCCTTTAAATTGTATTTGTTTGTTATTGGGGGTGGGGGAGGGCAGCCACAGTGTACATGTGGAGGTCATAAGGCAACCTGTGGGAATCCGTTCCCTTTTCCATGGGGTGGGTGCTAGGTACCATGCTCACATCATCAGGCCTGGTGGTTGGCTAACTCCCTTTACTTACTGAGCCTGAGCCCTCTTGCCAGCCCTTCAGAGAAATATTTGCCACATGTAGTTAGGTTCACTTTCCCTCAGTGCAATGTACCACTGGAATTATTTTTATGATTGTGCAGATCTAGAAGCTAAAGAGGAAATGTGGATTTAAATAAGTGATTTTACTTAAAGTCACAGTTTTTGGAATTTTTATGTGAGGTGTGAACTTAGAAGTGGTTTTCAATTTGTAAGTTATGGTTAACAAAAGGAATGAAAACTGCGCTAAAAATACCTGGAGTGCAGCCACAGGGCTCTTCAGTGTTCCCATACACAGAAGAATCTGTGCTCGCCCTGCTCACCCCCTTTGTCTCCTCCAGCCTGATTCTGGAGTGACCTTGTTTTACTATATTGCCTCTGAGAGACTGACCAGGGGTCTTTCAGTAGTTAGTGCTCCCTCCGCCCAATACATACCCATACAGAAGATGTTGTTTTTTAAAACCTATGTTTATTAGGTAAATCTGCTACATATCCACATGTCTGTAGAAGAGCAGTCTATGTGTAAGCGATAATTTTTAAATATTGTTTTGTTGTTGTTGTTGTTTTTTGTTTTTTTCAAGTTTCTCTGTGTATCTTTGGAGCCTGTCCTGGAACTCACTCTGTAGACCAGGCTGGCCTTAAACTCACTGAGATTCTCCTACTTCTGCCTCCTGAGTGCTGGGAGTAAAGGTGTGCAACACCACCGCCCAGCTACATTGTTTTATTTATGACTACATGAGATATGTGTGTGAGGGGGTGCATGCCCTGGCATGCAGAGGTCAGAGGGCAGCTCTGTGGATGGAGTAAGTTCTCTCCCTCTATCTACCATGTGGGTCCTGGGGAATCAAACTCAGGTCACTAGGTTTGGTAGCAAGCTGCCTTCACCCCCTGAGCCATCTTGCTGGCTCCACAAATGGGTTTTAATTGTGCAACTTTATGAATTCTTTAAAAAGCCAGCAAAGCATACACATTATCTTTCATTCCTGAATTCTCTGTATATCTCCAAAGAGGGTGACACATCTACATTTTTGTCTTAGGAATCTTTCAAAGAAATACCAACCCAAGAAGAACTCAAAGGAAGAAGAAGAATACAAGTATGTCCGTTGCTGGTGGATGTGTGGTGAGATGTGTGTGTGGTGGGTGGTGGTTGTGAAGGGAGGGGAGGAAACTACATGTTGTCTCAGAAGTCCCATCCACCTTCCTGTCTGTGTCTGTTTTCAACTTGGAGTTGACAATGAGACTGCTTCTTTAACCTCCCTGACCCTGAGCCACTGGACCCACTCCAGACTCCACTAAAGTAATTAGGAAAGCCTTAGGAAGCCCTGCAAGCATGTGCATCCAGTGCTTCTCAGCCTTCCTAATGCTGAGACCTTTAATGCAGTTCCAAATGTTGTTCTGACCCCCAACCATAAAATAATTTTCATTGCTACTCCATCACTGTAATTTCGCTACTGTTGTAAGTCATAATGCAAATAACTGATATGCAGCCCCTGTGAAAGGGTCATTTGAGAACCATTGTCCTAGAGTCTGTGGCTCTGTAGAGTCAGGAGTCCTAATTGTCCATCCATCCAAGAACTATGTCTGTCTTGGTCAGCAGTGATGGGTCATTGTGCATGGTGGAGGTCCAGGTGTCTGGTGTGCTTATTTAGTGAACATGGGTGGGTTCTGGAATCCAAATGAATACAGACAGAGACTGGGTTTCACAGAGCACCTGTGGCCATGTTGGGACTGTAATTAATTCTGAGCAGCTGTGTAATGATCCAGCAAGATCCTATGGGAGGCAGATGCAGAGCAGACTGCTTTTAATTAATATTTCATCAAGTAAAACATGAAGGTGGAGGCAGGCTTGTTTGAGAAGGAGCGGGTGTGCTCTGTCCCCAGGTACACGGCATGTAAAGCGTTTCTTTCCACCCTGAATGAGATGAATGACTACGCCGGGCAGCATGAGGTCATCTCTGAGAACATGATATCACAGATCACGATGGACCTGGTGCGCTATGTACAGGAGCTCAAACAGGAAAGGAAATCGGTAATGTATATTGGGGTATCTTCCCCCAAAGATGGGGTTGGGTGTGGGGGCTTACACCTTTACTGCTAGCAAGGGGAGGCAGGGGTAGAAAGTTTTCTGCAAATTTGATGACCACCTGGGCTACACAATGAGTTCTAGGCCTGCAAGGCTGCATAGTAAGACCCTGTCTTAAACAAAAATGGGGTGGGGTCAGGACACAGGTACGTACTGCATCTCAGACATGCTGGGATACATAATGAGTTCTAGACCTGCCAGGGTGACGTGGTGAGACACTGTCTCAAAACCCAACAGGGGCTGGAGAGAGGGTTCATTGATTAAGAGCCTTGGCTGCTCTTCGGAGGACCCAGTTTCAGTTGCCAGCACCCACATGGTGTCTCACAGCTGTCTGCATCTCTAATTCTAAGAGGGCCTAGACTGATTTCTGACCTCCTTGGGTACAAAGCACAAATGTGGTTCACATATGTACATGCAGGCAAAATACTCATATACTTAAAAATAAATATAAAGTAAACAAAAGTAGATTCAGGCGGAATGGTATATATGGAAGGTTGAGGCCAGCAGACCAGAAATTCAAGGACTGTGTGTGTGTGTGTGCGTGTGTGTGTGTGTGTGTTATGTAAGTGTGCTAATACATGTCAGGATGTGTCTTTAGAAGTCAGAAGACAACTTTGTGGAGTTATTCCTTTACCTGCCGAACCTGTAGTTGGTGTCTGTTACAAGTAGGTTTTTTTCCAGCCGGCCTGGTCCCTTAGCTGTGCCAGCCCGGTCCCTTAGCTGTGCCAGCCCAAATAACATACAGAGACACTGTATTAGATATAATGCTGTTGGCCAGTTACTAGTTTTTTTTTATCAGCTAGCTCTGTCTTAAATATTAACCCATTTCTGTTAATCTAAGTATTTCCTTGTGGTCTTATCAGAGAGGGTCTGGAGTTCTGCTCTCTTGGTCCTACATTTTGAATCTCCTCCTACCTCTACCCGAAATCTCCTTGTCTCTGAGTCCTGCCTATCTCGTTTTCCTATTGACCAACAGGGCTTTATTCATTAACCAATAAGAGAAACATATTTACAGAATGACATCCTACCACTGTAGCTCATCCTCCCCTCCCTTCACATCCAATTAGCTGGCCCATGTAGTCACAACTCCGAGGTTGAGGAACCAGCCGTGTGTCAGAGCCCTAAACTTGACAACTTTCTTTGCTGAACCAGTCATCAAGGAAGGCATTTTGTTTGTTTGTTTGTTGTTTTTCAAGATAGGGTTTCTCTGTTGTAGCCCTGGCTGTCCTAGAACTTGCCTCTGCCTCCCAAGTGCTTGGGCATTCCCACCGCCCAGTGAGGCATTTTATTTTGCCAGACAGCTAGGAAGCAGTGAGGCAGAACTGTGAGACTTAGAACAAACCTTACCACCTAGTATAAAAATGGTAAACACAGTGGCTCTGGAGGCAGCCCAGGCCTGTGCCCTGCTTTCAAACTTGTCTTGAGTTTTACAACTTCTTCATCCTGTTGAGGGCTCTGCTGTGTTCTGACCAGCCACTGGTCAGAGGACCTAGCATTTTAGCTGGCTCCCCAAACTGAAACTGCTTTTCCCTTAAGCAAGACTGAGTCAGGAGGTGGGCAGTGCCTCAGAGCCTCGCCCCTCCCCCAGTCCTTTCCGGCAGTGTAGTTGCCATTGGCCTCAATGTGTTCTGGCTTCAGGACCTTTGTACAGGTTTTTCTCCCTCAGAAAGCCTTCTCCAGACACCTCAGGGCCAATTCCTTAGGAATGTGTCCTTCTCAGACAGACTTTCCCATCTGCCTCACTTAAAATTAACCAAATCCCCTGGCCTCTCACCTTTCACCCTCCCTTGCTTTGCAACGTTTTTGTTTTGTTTTGTGCTTTGTTTTGTTTTTAGAGACAGGATCTTTTTATGTAGTCCTGTGTGTCCAGGAACTCAATATGTAGAGCAGCTGGCTTCACAGAGATCCCCCTGCCTCTGCCTTTGAGTGCTGGAATTAAAGATATGTGCCACCATGTCCGGCAGCTTCGCCATGTTTTTAAAGAGGGAGATAGAGTGTGGGTCTCTCAGTTTGTATGTGTACCACACATGTGCAGATGTCCTCTGAAGTCAGAAGACAGCATCTGATCCCACAGAACTGGAGGTAATAGGCTGTTGTAAGCTGAGCCACCCAACATGGGTGCTGGGAACTAAACTCGGGTCTTCGAGAGCAGCCAGCACTCTTAACCTCTGAGCCACCTCTCCGGTTCCTGGCATTACTCTTTACATAGTACTTAGTAGTATCTTGTGGGGGAAGTTGGAGGAGGGCTAGTGACAGGACCTTGTGTGTGCTGATCACACACACACACCCCACTACCCCTGCCTCTACAGCAGCATGAGGTGGAATTGCCTGCTGTCTTTCCTCCTGCCTCATTCAGAATGTATGGTCTTCCAGGACAAAGACATCCTTGCCCACCTCATAAGGTGGTATGCAGGAAGTGCAGGGGAGAGAGGAATAGTGATAGCTGGGAAACAGTGGGTGTGGCTCGGGGCTGGGAGAGCAGTACAGTGGTGAGCACTTTCCTGGGTTCACCAGCCAAGGACCAGTGGTGCACTTGCCTCTCATATGCAAAGCACTGAGTTCTATCACCAGTGTGTGTGCATGAGCATGCGTATGCGCCCGCGCACGTGCACACACACTCACACTCACATGCACAAACACATACACACACCTTGTGTTAATGTCTACGTGGTTCTAAAAGTTTATAGATAAGGACCTTCATATGTCTTTGCTATCTTATTTATTCATTGCTAATTATCTTTTTATAATCTGTCATCATATCATCTCTTAATTCATGTTCCTTAAAAGTTTTTTTTTCTTAATTAAGATTTATTTATTTTAAGCTGGTGATGGTAGCATACTCCCTTAATTTCAGCACCCAGGAGGCAGAGGTAAGTAGATCTCTGTGAGTTTGAGTCTAGCCTGGTCTACAGAGTGAGTTCCAGGTCAGCCAGAGCTACATAGAGAGACCCTGTCTCAAAAAAAAAAAAAAAAAAAAAAAAAACAACACCAACAAAAAGACTTTTTTATTTTGTGTGTGTGAGTGTTATGCCTGCCCATGTTCCTGGTGCTTAAAATGGTCAGAAGAGGGTACTGGATCCCTTGGAACAGAAGTCACAGACTGAGCAGCCAGTGCTCTTAACCACTAAAACCATCCTTTTGTTTTTAAGGAAAGTCACCAGTCCAGGCCCAGGAGTCATATGTTCTGTCAGGAGAATCTGCAAATGCCACTCTATTTGTTGAAGCATTCTGCAATTAAATTAAACTGACATTTAAGAACATTTCAAAATCTCAAGAAATACTGGAAAGAATGTCTGTCAACAAATATGTATTTGTGGTATTTTCATATGTGGTATTGTGAAGCCATCTCTTCTTTCCTATATCATAGCTACCATTCTTTTGAAGGAATGTGTAGCTCAGTGTGGTTAAACAGCAATTGGGAGGTTGAGGCAGGAGGATTACAAATTGGATGATGGAACCAAATCCCTAGCAAGACTCTGCCCCAAAAAAGTGTGTGTGGCTGAGTGGTAGTGGCAGTGCATGCCTTTAATCCCAGCACTCAGGAAGCAGAGGCAGATAGCTCTTTGTGAGTTCGTAGGCAAACCTGGTCTACAAAGCAAGTTCCAGGACAACCAGGACTGTTTTACAGAGAAATCCTGTCTTGAAAAACAAAACAAACAAACAAACAAAAAACCCCCACAAAACTGTATGTATGAGAGAGAGTATAAAGTGGCTCAGTGGATAAGACCTCAAGCTCTCAAGCCTGATGACCTGAGTTTGATCCCCAGGATTCACGTAGTAGAAGGAGAGAACTGGCTCCTGTAAGTTGTTCTCTGACCTCCACACACAAGATGTGTACACACACATAGATAAAAAATAAATTTAAAAAATAAAATAAAAAAGACAGTGTGATAGAGCATGCTTGAGAGGTAGAGGAAAGAAGATCATGGACTCAAGATCTTCCTCAGCTGCCCAGTGAATCTGTGGCCAGCTTGGGCTGCAAGAGATCCTGACTCAAAAACATCGAGGTGTGGTGGCACACACCTTTAGTCCCAGCATTTAGGAGTTAGAGGCAGGCAGATCTCTGTGAGTTTTAGGCCAACCTGGTCTACATAGCAAGCTTCAAGACAGCCAGGGCTACATAGTGAGATCTTGTCTCAAAACAAAACAAAAATCACAAAGCAAAAAGCTTAGAGGGCTGTGTCCTGTGTGTGTGTGTGTGTGTGTGTGTGTGTGTGTGTGTGTGTGTGTGTGTGTTAGTTACTGATGGTTTGGGAGATTGGTTAGCCCGCACTCACTTTTATATCAGTAGCTAGCACTGGCTGTCACTTAGGTTAACTCTCCCCAGTAGGAGGTCTGTGATGTTACCCAGTGCTCAGAAGCCTATAGAATAGGGAGGTGGTGTGGATCTATGGGGCCACTCAGGGTCCAGCTGGAGGCGACACCCAGACAGCAGGGCCAAGCACAGCTCACATGGTTTTATTTCATTAATGGTTTTCCTAGCTTACCCATAAGGCCACTGATTGTACGGTGCAGCCCCTGCCTGCAGACCTTCTTCTCCAGGTCCCTGACTTTCCTTAGTGGCACAAGCCAGATGATATCATTTCCTGGTTTCTGCTGAGGTCAAGACAAAGCCCCACAGACACACGGGTCTGTCTTAGAAGCCGGACTGTGCTGGTCTGCAGGACTCTGCTGGAGTGTTTTCTCATTCCACTTCTATGTAGCTTATAGGGACTGAACTCAGGTTGCCAGGTTTGTGCAGCAAGCACCTTTTACATGCTGGCAGAGCCATCTCACTGTACTGTAGTTTATATCCTCAATTCTCTATTTAATAGCATTTTCTCTGTGTCCTCTGATAAGCAGATTGTTTTAATAATCAAGTCTTTAGTAGATGCTCTAGTCATTCATTCATAAATGAATTTATAGTATTCAGGCTCAAAACCAGCCCCTTGAACAAAGCTACACAA